ATTTGTGGAGCAGGTGTGGGGAGGAGGTGCCACGCTGGGCACACTGTCCTCACGCGTGGCCAGAGGAGACGTGGCGGGACGTCCAGGGCACGTGTTTAACCAGAGGGAACTCCTCTAAGAGGCAAGAGACTGCCACACGGTGCTGCTACAGGACTCTCTGACATGCTCATAAATGTCAGCTATGCTTTCTGCTCACTGAAGCCCGGCCACTCAGGCAGGAGGTACAGAGCAGCAGCTCTCCTCGGCACCAGACCAGTTAGCAGGGAACAGCCGAGGAGACGGACTGGCTCAAGAACAAGCTCGAGGAGAGTCTTCCGACACGCGGGTTATGAAAAGGTAAGGAGGGAGACAGGCAGCAAGCAGAGGTGGGGTCGTGCGGCCAGCCTGGTGCCCACCCTTGCACCAGGACCCTCCAGCAGGTCCAGATGCATGCAGGCTGTCGGGATGAAGCCCATCCGTCCTGAGCCGTGTCTCCCTGAGCCGTGCTCTGCTGTCCCCGGGAGGCCCCCGCTGGGTGGTTTCCATCAGCTGATGTGGCAGGGGCAGCTGCCTGTTGTGAAGCTGTGGCGTCTCCGCACTTGTCCCAGGTCTGGCCCTCCCCAGGTCATCGTGTCACACCCTGGACTGTGTGCTGCCAGCGAGGTGGCAGAGTGGGTGACAACCTGAGCTTGGGCACAGGCTCTGCCCCAAGGAGAAAATGGCACTAGGCTTCCATCAGGTGACCAGCGAGGTGGCAGAACAGGTGACAACCTGAGCTTGGGCACAGGAGAAAATGGCACTAGGCTTCCATCAGGTGAGCCTGCAGCTCCTGCCCAGCTGCCTGTCCACACTCGCTCCACCCACCTGTGACTCCTGGCTGCCCGTCCACACTCGCTCCACCCACCTGTGACTCCTCCATGCGGCCCTCGTGCCTCGGCCATGTGGACCCCTGACTGGCAGTCTAGCGGGACTGAACTTTGACCACGTGTGGGAGCACGGCGGCAGCCTTCCGTCTTCACCAGCCCTGTGTGATCAGCGTGAGCTGCGAAAACCAAGACTGACAGTAAATGATTGTCTCAGTCAGTCCTCCTCGAGATCGCCTCGTAGAGTTGCCTGGAAGGCTGTGGAAACAGACCGCCGAGGCCTTTACATCGCTGGCCTGCCCCACACAGCTGAGGTGTGAGGGGCATGACCCATGCCCCATCTTCCTAGCTGACAAGGATTGCCTGCCCCACGGCATGTGTCCCAGACCAGCCACGTCTCTGGGCCACACTCGTCCTTCCCAGGCTGTACCTTCTCTCCTTGGAAGGCCCCGTCCCTCGGCTTTCCACCCACGCTTTATTCCTCAGCCTTCTCCCCTCCGGGGAGCCTGTGCAGCTCTGGCTCCCCCACAGATAGCACGTCCCTCCCTGTCACCTGTTAAGTCACTGATGGTGAACGTCTGGCTACTCCTCACCGCGCCACCACCATGCATTCCTCCGTGTGCCACTGTGCCTCACCTCGTAGGCGTCTGGGGTTGTGGGTGGGGTACTGGCTTGACTGAGCCTGGGGAGTCTCACTGTACGCCTGAGGTTAATGGAGGCCTCGCCCGTGATGGGCACGGCACCGCTACTTCTTGGTGGGAAAGGAGCCTGGACAGTTTCCAGCAGGCATTGCTGAAGAGATGGACTTTTGAAAGTGCCAAATCTGGGGGGCGCGGGTAGAAAGAAAGGGCCAGCCCACAGTGCAGCAGGTAAGCCCTGAGTGTAGTGAGCTGGATCCCACGTGGCTGACAGCAGTGGGAGCTCCAGTCCTGGCCGCTTAAAAACCATGCTGGGTGCCTGTGCCACCGTGCCCAGAGTCCCGACGGGATGGAGAAATGGAAGAAAAAGGACCCTCTGCCAGGTGCATTTTCCCTCCCTCCCTTCCCCTCCGACAAGCACAGTGCCCTTTGGCAATAAAAGTAAATAAAGTGTTAAACAGTATCTGCTAGCACAGCCCCTCTCGGCCCCGCTTCACTCACTGGCTGGGGCGGGCATCCCCTCCGGCTCCACATCTGCCCTCCGCCGGCCGCAGTGGCCGTCTGGCTGCTGCACGGCTGGCTGTCCTGCTCGCCTCTGCTCTTCCCTGCGAGTCCCTTCCAAAACTGTGTACGGTGACAAAAGGAGAGCTGTCCCAGGGAGGTGGGCTTTGGTGCATGAAGAGTTGGGTCGACGGCTCTGGGTTTACTCACATCAGGTATGATGACGGTACCTGCCGTGTGCTGGACGTGTTGGTGAGTTGGGAACCTCTGTTCAAAGAGTGGGCATCACCCGTCATGGGAGAGACCCCGCACAGACCTGTGGCTGGGAAAGGTGAGCGATGGAGCCCACAGGAGTGCCCAGGGCGCGAGCCGGGGAGATGGAGGTGACCTTCGGGTGGAAACAGTGAGCTGCACTGGGACAGAGGAGCCCAGAGGTGTAAACACTCAGGCTGCTTGTCATCCAGAACTGCTCCCTGAGCCTCTGGCCGTGGGCAGCGTGGTGAATAAATACCAAGAAGAGGGAGGAAATCTCCATTTCAGACGTGGGGATGAAACAGTGGTGCCGAGCGGGCTGGCAGTTCCACATCCATCCCGTGCTCATGGAAACTGCAGTAATTTAGAACAGTTCAGTATTTAGACTCAACTGTGTAATTCATCCTGATGTTTCCCATTCATCAAAGCCTAGTGTGTGTTTGTATTACCATGAGAAAAATAAAAAATGGAGGAGAGGAAGATTCCCCCCCTTTTATTACAGGAAAATTATGACAGAGTTGCAACCCCTGGGGCCCTTGAAGCAAAGGAACATCTTGCTTCAATTAGATATAAATAATGAACAATAATTAGAAAGATTTCTTCATCGAATTTGTTATTTTATGTTTCCTTTCATCTGTGATGTATTGAAACAAAAACGGAGCAGTTTCTGGACGTTGGAGCAGGGGCTGAGGGAACGTGTGGAGTGCGTCCCTGAGTGGCAGGAAGCGCCCGCGGCGGGCTGTGTATGCCGTCCAGGTCAGGGCCGCTGCTGGCCCTGAGTCCAGGCCGAGGATGCAGGGACGGAGCCGCTTCAGCTCCAGTCCTGCGAGTACTGAGTCTCCCGGGGAGCCAGTGCCAGTGTGGGACAGCTCCTTGTCACCGGGCGGCAGCTCTGTGTCAGGTGCAGCTGAGAGCTGGCTCACCTCCCGCTTAGCCGGACAGTCACCCTCTCCTACAGACTGACTCTGTCTCCACGTGTGAAAGATCGGGACCCCGGGGCACACAGATGTTAGGTCACTTGCCCAGAATGCCAGTGTTTGTGACGGCAGGGCTGGGAGACGGGGCAGGGTGTGGGACGCGTGGGGAGTCCCGGCTCGCCCTCCTGCTCTGATGTCCTGAGACCACGGCTGCTGCTGATGT